TATTAAACTCCTCAATCTCTAATTTATTAATAATTTAATAAAAAAAATATACCAAATATGTTTTATTCAAGGACATTCCATCATTAACATAATTCTTAGTTTTGTAATTATTATTATTATTATTATAATACAGTATTTATATAGCGCCAAAGGGTTTGCTCAGCGCTGTACAATAGCAAGGGGGACAGAACATGAGACAAGACAGTAACAATACAATACACGAGGGGTTCGAGGGCCCTGCTCTTTCGAGCTTACAATCTAGGAGATATTCACACAGATACATTTTAGATCCTAAAGCTGAACTCCAGGAATTCAGTCACTTTCTACAATGTGATGGCTTATAGTTTAAGCCCAATGAGATGCATGGCTCCTCATGGACCTATCTCTTTTACTTACAATTAACAGTTATAACTATACTCCTAGCACACTGACAGGAGTGATGCTGCTTTCTCACACATAGCCGCTTTGCCCTCCTCTCCCCTCCATTGTTTGTTCATAGATGGCTTTACATTTTGTGAGTGGATTCAAATATTACAGTGATTGAGCAGGAGAATGGGGGGGAAGTAGGCAGCTCCTGAAGCTGAGACCACAAGGTCCAGCTTTGGACTGCTGGAAAGAGAGTGATAGCTATGCTCCCAGCACAAAAATGTAAGTTGGAAATGAGAGTGGTAATACCACAAGGTGGCAAGCACCTCATTAGACTTAAACCATAGTAATCCTGCACATTTTAGAAGTGCCAGAGTTCCTGGAGTTCATCTTTAATTCTAGTAAAGGCAAAACATCAACAGTTTTAAAAAGAAATCCAAAATCTTTAACACCCAGCAGGCCACTTTCCTATATAACAAGCATCAGCAGGTAAAAACTGGCACTTAGGAGCACCGTCATCTATATTCATATTAAAGGCAAACTCCTCTTTGAAATTTTTTTATTTTGAGTGGATATTGTAGCGCCCACTTCCCATATCTTAGATTCAAATGGCAAGATTTCTTTTTGGTACAATTTGTCTAAACCCCTTGCAAAAAGACATAACCAAGGCATGTTTCTCGTTTATTTGTCTACTCTAAAGCTGCGTACACACTGTAAGAAAATCAGAAGAAAAACTCCATATGAGGAACGATTGGTCGATTATCTGATCATTAGTACATTGCTTTGTACAACCGATTCTCGTGCACCCCAAGGTGCAGGCTAGAAAATTGTTATCGTACATGAACACAACATTTGATTTCCACTCACTGTGTACCGTAATTGTACGGAAATAAATGAATAGAATAAATTTGCTTGATCAAAAGCAGGGAATGATTCGAAAGAAGGTGGCAACGAACATAGAAATCTTACATAATAAAGAATGTTTGCCTTTGTCATTCAAGAATTTTGTTAAACGTTAATATCTTTGTCGGTTTCATTATGATATAAGGCACAATCCTTCGGAGATGGGTGACACAATCATTTGGCTTTGTTGTGGCTACTGGAGTTTTGCAGAACTGGAAAACTCCAGTAAGCAGATTTCTTAGAAGTTTCTTTATATATAAGAACCCAAAGTGTGTACCAACCTTCCAGCAATCATTTAAAATTGAAATATTAGTTTTGTATATAGTTGACCTTTAAGCAATTTTGTTCAAATACAAAAAAGTTAATCTTTTGTCAATTAGCTATCCAATATAAAAGGTCTGTAAAATCTCTTGAGCCATGTCACCTAAAACCTTTTGGCAGTTATTTTCACTGTAGTCAGTAGATATACATAAGGTTCTTTAATAAAATGTAGTCAGTAGATTTCAACATATTTAATATTTGAATTTTAAAAATACAAGTACAGAAAAACACCAGTGAGCTCTTAACTTCCCATTATAGATGACAACCCAGCACTAAAATCCCAAACAGGGTTGTCAGCCCTAGCTGGTTCTCTCCTGCAGGAGCATGGAGCACATCCCTTTCTCACCATCTCGATAACATAAAGGAGACAACTCTGGCAGGATTTATTAAACTGCTTGGGATTTCAGTGTAGCACAGATGGAGTTGTCAGCTTAAAAAAGTTCTGAGCCCACTTGATTACTGGCATGATCAACAAGTATTTCTCTGTACTTGCTGCTTTGTTAAAGAGACAACCGATGGGGAGATATGAATGTATTGCATAGATGTTTTGAGCTTTTTTTTTTCCAGACATACCCAAAGTGAATTAGTGACTAGGTTATTCAAGGAGGAGAGCGGTACCAAAAGTAATGCAAAGTGGGCATAACTTTTTTATTAACCTCCCTAGCAGTCTGATTATGTCCATATTTCTGTGCTCAAAGCGGTAACTTTTTTTGCATGGAAATATGTATTTTTTTATTGTAGGCCTGTAATTTTTAGGAATAACTCACTGAAATCTGTCCGAACAAGAGTCTAGTAAACATCCCGGGTATGTGAAATTTGAAACACGAAATCATAAATTATAATTTTAATAAATAATCATAAAAATAATAATATAATAATAAATTTAATTCAATAATATAATCAAACCAAAAACACTGAAATTTGAAATATAGCGCCAAGTTCACACATCACTGATCAAAGTCGCAAAATCCTTTTCAGTGTCTGATGACGAATCTCCCCACGAATCATTATCACTCAATTCTGCAAGTAGTTCTAATTTACTATCACTGTTCTCTAGCTGGTCTAAAACCGCTTTTGACCTAAAGGGACGCTTTTTGGACGCCATGGACGTTTCTCAGTTTCCAGGCAGAAAGAACAGTAAAAATGTAGGCAGGGCACAGGACAAAGCACTAGGGACAAAATGTATGTGAAATGCTTTGATACAGTAATGTTTTTACTATTTTATTTTAGTGAATTTAGTGAATGTCATTTTCAAATTTCCCGCCGTTCCGTCCCTGTACGTCCCGACGTCGCAGGGAACGGAACCCAGAAGACAGATGCCGGCATCCGCCAGAGCACATTGCCGGGGACACTGCAGGAGGGACATCGCAGGAGAGAAGGACAAGAAAAGAGAAGAACAGATCCCAGAGCAGCGCCGCATGGTAAGCCCGAGTGTAGCTCGGGGTTACCGCTTGTGGTACTGAAACTTTACCCTGAGCTACACTTGGGAATACCGCCAGGGAGGTTAACTTACATAGTAAATTCCTATGCCCAAGAGAGGATAAAAAGGAAACGTGGGGACTTTACAGGCGTCTTTCCTTTCAAAGACATTATACAAATTCCAGATCGCAATATTTCTTAAGCAAAAATCAACATAAAATATAAAATCTCGCATCTAAAAGAGATGTATAATGGTATCTACACCCCCAATTTCCTCTAGCACCATCTCCTGTCCCATCCACAATTTATGAAGTTCAGCTAAGGGAGCAAAATCATCATATAGCCTCCCAAAATGTCAAAGACAATTATTGACAGCTGTGTATATATACTGTGGATATATAGATGCAGATGAGTCCTTTCTCTATGGATTTTGCTTGTAGATTCCTTAGGAGTGGGTCGCTGCAGGGTGAACAACCATGTACATAAGTTGTTCAAATTTCACATGTTGGTACAGTAACTCTTCTTCGATTATAACTCTTCTTCTTTTTCATTGCAGGCAAAAAATGGATTACAAGCAGAAGCAATGTGCCATCACTGAGCTCTTGATGAAAGAGGGGTATAGGCTGTCCGACATCCACAGAAGGCCACAGAAAGTTTACAGAGATAACACCAATGAAACTTCTTCTTTTATATGTGCACATTGCTCCTGTCAATGATGTCATCTCTGTAAACATTCTGTAGAGTTCTGTGGATATCAGGGCAACCTGCACCTCTCCTTCATTAAGAATTCAATGATGGCACATTGCTTCTGCTTGGAATCTATTACTTACCTGAAATGGAAAAGAAGAAAAGTTACTAGAGAGGAAAAATTACTCTAGCAACATGTGAAATTTGAACGACCCATGTAAGCTGATAAAAAGTTATTCATTACTTTCAGTACAGTCCTCATAGTTACAAATTCTTAGCCAGCAGTGAATGAGCCCTCACTGATACCTTTAGCTTCAGACACTGCAGAGCAATTCATTTCAGCCCTTTTCTCAGCAGCTCAATTACCTTTCCTACCGTTTCTAGTACATCTACTCTGTTCACATCAGAGATTAGAAGGCTGGAGTCACTGCTTGGTAGGGAAGAAGGGAAGCTTAGCTGTTAAGAAAACAACTGGAATTAGTGTTTCTGCTGTGAATTTTGAGATTTAATTTCTCTATAGTTCCTCTAGCTACAAAGGTCGGTTAGCATTTGTTTTAAGGCTCATTTTCTGTTTGTTAAGAATATACAAAAACTTTAACGTAAATTGCCTGGCCACAGATTCTCTTGAATAAATTGTAGTGCTGCAATAGGTAGCCAATATGCCATCAAATTTAAACTGGAATATTTGTTCTATCCGCATGGCCTATAAAGGGGCATTAAGAATCCTCTGATGCTCATCGCTAACTCAAAAGCCAGGTAGTGCACTTTAAGTGGAAGGAAGGAGAGAAACAGGGCTTGTATCAGGCTGACGCTCTGCATATAATGGCTACCCCTACGAGATCTTGCAGGTATCCTCCTCTTGGAGTTAGTGTTCAGCCCTTGTGTTAGTGCAGGAGTACTGGAGAATGCTAACCCTGTACTGACCCTGAATAGGCTGTGCAAATGATAACCTTGTTGCATGTCTGTAAAGGTTGTAACTTATATACCTTAGATTGTACACCCCTTGAGGGTTAGGGACTGATGTGAATGTACAATATCTATATATGTGTAAAGCGCTGCGTAAATTGACGGCGCTATACAAGTACCTGTAGTAATAATAATAATAATAATATAGCCTTTTACAACCTGCATATGTTCCTCAACTACTTCTAGACATTACTCACTGGTTCCTGTGTATTGCAAAAACATTGTTCAGCCTGGGCTATAAAAATGTTCATGCTCTCAAGTTCATAACAATATACATTGCTGCTTCTTAATATATTGTTTACTTTTTTTTAACATGGCTTTTCTCTCCTTGACTTTCTACAGCAACGTCCAGAGAAGCAGTCCCTGAGTGCGTCTATGTGTCGGGATTCTCACTGGAAATGTCTTCTTCTCTCCATCCTCATGCTTGTATGCCTTTGTGCTGTAACTTGGTGCCAGGTTACAAGTGTGACCAAGCTCAGCTTCGACAGTTCTCTTAAGGGAAGATCCATGATCTACCATGGCAGCCCTTGCTCTGATGGTTATGTCTACATTCCGCTGGCCTTTTTAGCAATGCTGTACGTGGTTTACTTGGTAGAATGCTGGCATTGCCATGCCAAGAGTGAACTCCAACATAAGGCTGATGTTACTAGTGTTTATGATCAGATACAGCGTATGCGCCAAGCTACACCTTGCATCTGGTGGAAGGCCATTAGCTACCACTTTGTCCGTCGCACTAGACAAGTCACTCGCTACCGTCATGGTGATGCCTATACTACTACTCAGGTCTACCATGAACGAGTGAACACTCATGTGGCTGAAGCAGAATTTGAATACTCTCATTGTGGCATAAAAGATATTTCCAAAGACCTATTGGACCTAGACCGCCACCCTGCCACCAAACTAAAGTTCACCAAGTGCTTCAGTTTTGCTAATCTGGAGTCAGAGAACTCGTATCTCACCCAGCGTGCCCGTTTCTTCACAGAGATTGAAGGACTAGATGACTATATGGAGGCAAGGGAAGGAATGCAGCTAAAAAATGTGGACTTTAAGGAATTAGTTATTGCTTATGTGAACCTAGAGCAGCTGCCGTGGTATGTTTCCCACTATGCTTTCTGGGCAGCTGCCTTACTCATGCTCTCATGGCCCCTAAGGGTTTTTATTGAGTATCGAACTGCTCATGTTCATTATCATATCGAGAAACTCCTAGGGTTGGAATACAGGGCACCTGGGGTGGCAGAGGAGCCTATATACCGATTCAGAATGCCACGGGTCAGCACCTTTGACAGTACTGAACTGGAATGGCATATATGCACCAATCGGCAGCTGATTCCAAGCTACTCTGAGGCAGTGCTGATGGATTTAACAGATTCCTCACTATGCAATGGATATTCTGCCTGTGGGTACAGTGGTGTCCTGAGAGGCTGTGAAGGCTGCAACAGAGCATCCAGCAGCTCTTCTATCTTCTCTCGCCATGCTATGCACAGCTGCAGCGGGGGGCCATCACACCTCTCCCTCAGCACCAGCCGTTTCTCCCTATGTCAGCTGCATGGATCCCACAGGACAGGCCTCTGGAGGAGTCGTAGCAGCAGCCTTGCAGATCGTGTATGCCCAGATGAACGATGTTGCTCCTACTCTAGCCAGCTAGCCATTAATGAAAACCCTCCTACATATCACGATGCCCGTTTCTTCCCTGTGCTTATAGTGCACCGTCAGGAAGGATGCCGGACCAGGAACTTCTGCATACACCGCTCATCGTGCATGGAGACCTCCTTGTAAAAGAATGTCCCACCATCTTTATGCTGCAGCCCCACTTATTTTGTGCTGGAGAGTGCACTAAATAAGGCAAATAGGCAAATACTTTTAAAATGTATGGTAGCATAAAATAAAATGTGATAAGCAACATTGGTAATAAAAACATGCAGCCAACATCTCACCAAAGTTTTCAGGCACTTGATGAATGTCAAAGATCTAAAAACCTTTTAACAAATACTTTTGTGTTTCTGCTCTATAAAATGAATAGAGTATTTCACCATTAATTTTACTTCATTTAGCCTGTAAAGGAACACATTGCAATAAATATTTTAAGAATTATGTACAATATGCATAACAGTCAATTTGATTTGGTTGTAGAAAGCCAGGTGACATACTGGTGGCTAAGCCTGTAGGAGCCTTCACTTTCTTTCTTGTGGCTTTACAGTACCCTTAAAACAATGACATGGCCCTGTACTAGGTAAACTAGTTAATATGATTGCTAACCGAATCTGATATTTCAGGAACATAAACATTTTTAATTTAAAAATCAATGTGGTATAACCCAGGATGGTGCTGGAAATGCGAGACATGCAATACCATACCCTTTCACATCTAATAAAGCATTGCCTGTCAATGGACTAATGTATATGCCATTCTGAATTACATGGGGAAATCACAAGCCAAAGCAGGGCAAATTAAAACAAATGTTCATGGTGCTAAACGGCAAAATCACCATAAAAAAAGGTAAGTGGGCAGTAAGACTTCACTAAAGAAAGACACCTGCTAATAAAACATGTATTATCTTTAAATAGCATGTAAGTTATTTCAATCAGGTAAAGCAAACGATTTGTCAATTTGTGGCACTGTCATGAAGAGAGTACAGAAGGTGCCATTCCTGACCTCCTAAAGAAAAATGTTAGTTGCCTGGTTGGGTCAGAAAATTGTATCTAAATCCTGACAACTAACCTGTTTTATTTGATCTCATTTTATCTGTTAAATATACAATTTAAAGAGGTTTGTTATAACTGTATAGTAATTTAAAATAAATACCTGTTGATCCTGCCAGAAATCATGTGATCTGAAAACTCATTATGATCACCAGGGGACTAGCATTCTCAGAAGCAGAGTTCAGTAATGGCAGCCTCCATGATTCTAACATGAAAGAGTTGCTATAATGTTCTCCTAAATCTTAAAGGGTTCGATTTTCCAAAATATATTACTTTTGGTAAATTACGACATCTTCCCATACATCTTGAAGTCCTTGGACCTGAGAGCTGAGAAGTTTCCCTACTTGCTAACACCATTATATATTTTTTTACTCACATTGCTCTTTTGTACTTTGCATTGCTAGGTATGCACCTCCAGTAGGAGAAATTGAAGTATACAGTATATAAAGCCAAAACCATCTTCACTAGTTTTAATTAGAGTAAGGATTGGTTAAAGCCCATGTCAAGCTTCACATTCTGTCCCAGTGGCAACAGGAAGTGAGTGGAAAAGTCTCCAAAGTGAGCGGAAATTTCTTTACAGTAGGTGTCCACATGGGAAGAGTTTTACCCTAGCCTCCCAATCCCATGCCAACTGTATTATTTTTTTATTTCCCATCAATTTCTGTCCCAGGGACAATAGTTAACAGGACAAATAAATAAGCTGAATCTCCCTAGTGGGAACACAGATAAGACTCTTTTGCATCCCTAGCAAGGACACAATTATCAATAGATATCTGACAGGGCTCCAACCTTTCCTTACTTTATCCAAAACTAGGAGATACATATTCTTAAACATTTTTTAGCTGCCAAGAACAGAAAAATCTGGTACTTTCAAGTATCAGGAGAATGGGGTTCACAGTCCTTAGCTAGTGATAACCTGGTGCTTACATAGGGTTCTCCTCTTTTCATACCATATTCTGTAACACCAGCATGTGTAATTCCAGTCAAGGGATTGATTTACTAAAGGCAAAAACGCTGTACACTTTGAAAGGGAAGTTGCAATATGCAGTGAGATACTATGAGAATTTGCCCCTGAGCTTAATGAATGAAGTGAAGCTCTGAAGACTTCCAGCATCCAATCATGTGAAAGAAAAATTGCTGTTATTTTATTTTCCTTACGCTGATTGAGTATTTTTTTCAGTGAAACTTAACCACCTTTATTAAGCTCTGGGGCAAATATCCTTTCAAAGTGGACAGCCTATTTGCCTTTAGTAAATTAACACCATAGAACTTTAACTGCTCCAGAAGTCTGGGATCTCTTGAAATCTTTTTTTTCACCTTCCATACCAATGGTTGTGTGTTTCTATTATCAGAATTCTTGCTCTTTTTGCCTCAGCTTATGCAAATGGTTTCAAAAGTAAAAGCAAAAAAAGAAAACCTGAAAAGAGACCTTCTCAGCTCTTACGTCTTTTTAATTTACAAACAGAAATGTAGAAGGGGTGCCACTTTAATCTTCAGTATCTTTTCTGAAGAAGATATACATTAGAAGCCTCTCACTTGATGTGTCTTAATGAACTTGCCTCAATGTGTAGAATATACACAAGCTGTTGAATGGGCAATACCATACCTCTGTTTGTTACATGACAAATCAGTCACTCATATGAATAGGTGCTAAGTTATTCCAGTGTCCATTATTTTATGCAAATGTATGTCATCTTAATGTTACATAACAAGTAGAACCTCTTTTTATACATATTTTCCATGGTGTAGCAAGATGGCAGGCTCTTAGTATGAGTGACCACATCCATTTAAATCAATCCACAAAGCTCTGAGCACAGCTAAGGAAATACCATTCCTGCTGTATTATTACACCCACATGTAAGTGATATTGGCATGTGGTGTTGTAGGATGATTTACATTATCTATAAAAGCTTGTGCTAAGAAGACGCTGTCTTGTTTCTCCTTCAAAAAGAGAGAGATCGTAACCTTTGTAAGTAGAGACATTCTTATAGTGATGAGAGCAATCTGCTCTGATTGTTGGTTTTGTTAGAAAGGTTCAAATGTAATCAATAGAGCATGTAAAGGACCATCAAACCTAAAATGGATCTATTTTGTATGCTTGTCTTTACTAGTCTTTAGAGTCCAAAGTAAAAGACTTTTATAGCATAGATAAAATGACATGGAACAAAGATTCTAATGTGTTTCGGAGGGTAATACAGTTCTCCTTCATTGGGGCTTTGAATACTGCATGTGCATTGAAAGCTATACTCTGAGCTTATAAAAATATACCGTAATTTCCTGGTTCTCTGTGCTCAAAGGGGCATCTGTTTTCTACAAAGTAGTCGGCAAACTATGATTTTAAGAGCCCAGGGTCCATCCTTCCATACACATACAATAGTCTAAAGTCTAATGGTGTGTCTCCGTTTTCTTCATAGGATTCACAACCCACATGTCAGATACCTCTGGCTTTGAGAAAATGGGTAGACATTGAGATGAAGGCTTAGATGTTATATTTTGACAATAAAGTCATAATTTGCGTATCAGTAATAGAGCTGTTTAGTTGGCTTGGCTTGTAGGTTTTGGGGAAAAAAGGCATCTGACGGAGGTGATTATGAAGGTACCACTATGGGGTTGATTTACTAAAACTGGAGAGTGCAAATCTGGTGCAGCTGTGCATAATAACCAATCAGCTTCCAAGGCTTAACTGAACAAGGTGAAGTTAGAAGCTGATTGGCAACCATGCAGAGCTGCACCAGATTTTGCACAGTCCAGTTTTAGTAAATCAACCCCTATGTATACATGCCTAATGCTTGGAGAATGGAAAGCTCACTTTAAGGCTGTATAATGTACCAGATCAGGAACACCTGAACTATTTGTTATGCTGCATTGAGTATACTGAAGAATGTTCATCAAATATTGTTGCGGGGAAATTCTGTGATTTTTCATCACATACTGTATATGATAGATTGATTTAAAAAAAGATGTGACATATGGACCTTTAAGCCTGGGTTTACACTGATGTGGTCCGAAATTTGCACTGGTTTCTATGCGATTTACGCACCTCATCATAATCTCACCCCGTTCACACGAACCATTGCAGGTGTGTATTTTAAGTTAACGACACCCCCAAATCAGTTCGCAAAATGCAGTACAATGTACAGAATCGGATTGTATGGGTGTGAAAACCCATGCAATCCGATTCTAGTGTGGACCACAAAAAGGGTCCTGTACTTTTTTGGTGCGAATGTGGTGTGATTTGAGCCATACAAAATGTATGGCTCAAATCGCACCACACAAAATTTGTATGTGATTTGCACAGGAATGTGGTGCGATTCCTGTGTGAATCATATGCGGTATGCTGCACAAGTGTGAACCCAGGCACATTGCATACTTGTTGGTCACACAAACATTTTGCATTAAGTCCAAATGGACAATAAGGAAGACCACTAGTGGGTAGAGGGTAAGGCTGACCATACACTATACAATTTTCTGTTCAATTTCTGCCCAATTTCCTTTAGATTTACCATCAGCTATGTAGTGCAAGGTCCTGCCTAATTGAATACAATTGAAAGTGTTGTTTAGGTTTGTCCTCATATTATATGGTTTTTGGTAAATATAAAGCAAAATTATGAAGAAAATTGTATAGTGTATGGCCAGCCTAAGTTAAAAAGATAAAGGGCGAGTTCACACCACAAAAACGCACTCTGGATGCATTCCGGATACCTTGTTGCTTACAGGTCACACCACACTCCATTCTGGTGCAGTTTTGATGCAATTTGCTATGTTCCAGTATGGTTCTGTGCAGAAAAAATGCAGCATGCTCTACTTTTTGTTCCAGAAACTGACTGGAACTGACTGCACTGGTGTGAACTAGAGCCATTGAAATACATGGAAAACACCGTGCATGCATTTGTGATGCAGAAAAAAATGCACTGGACTGCATCTAGTGTGAAATTGCCCAAAAACAGGGAGGGATCATTTTTTCAATTATAGATCAGCTAAAATGTATCAGGTGCCAACATGGATGCACATTTGTGATAAAAATAAAATATGAATGTTATGTTGAAACAAGCACCACAAATGGTCATGTATTTAAAG